ATTATTACTATTATTATTATTATTAATAATAATAATAATATTATTATTATTGATATTATTATTGTAATTATTATTATTATTATTATTATTGATTTTATTATTATCATTATTACTAATATTATTATAATTATTATTATTATTATTATTATTATTATTATTATTATCATCATCAATGCAGTTTTGGAGACCTGCGGTTGTTTAGTTAGCGGTGCTGCAGGCGAGTGTCATTCCTCGAAGACTGATGAGCATCAGAGCAGGTCAGTAGAAACTTTTATAGACCTGCGTTTGCTCTGTTTACACAAGATTCCTCAAGACACGCTCTGCAAACCTGGATATTTCCTCATCGTTCTGCTTTTGAAGGGGCGCTTCACACAGAAATGAAGATTTACTCATTATTTACTCTCCCTCAAGGGCGTTCAGACCTTCATGAAGAATGTTGAAAACCGGTAACCATTGACTTCCATAAGTAGGACAAACACAGTGGAAGTTAATGGTGACCGGTTTACAACATTCTTCAAAATATCTTCTTTTGCGTTTAGCTGAATAATTGTTGAATAGTTGAAGCTGCATTAGGCATGTTGTAATAGTCAGTAACTGCGCTTTGACTCAGCACAAATCTAATCTTTAGTGATATTTGTTTAAATGATGTTTAATGTATTTATTACACAGCTCTCTAGAATACTGATTGGTCAATCAATCATGACAATTATTCTCAGAGAACTTCTGATTAAACAACACAGACTCATGTGGGAACTGTCAATCATAAACAACACAGACTCATGTGGGAATTATCAATCATCTGGATTATTAGTCTGTATATGTATGAGGGCTGCACGACACTGGATATATTAGACAATGTGATATGCTTTTCTCTGTGATATATAGTGCTATATATTGTGATATAATTTCACCAGATGACTTTAGTAACTCTTTTATAAATACTTTAGATTGATTGGGATGATTTTATAGAGAAGTGAAATATAAATATATTTCTGTGATATATTATATGCCCAATAAACAAAATACAGTCATAAATAAACACAAAGGAGCAAATCTATACGTAAATAAACAGTGATTTCTGGTTTTCTGTGGAGAGTCTAACAGTATTCAGATACAGAAATTAAATAATCGAATGTAAATTAACAAAGCGTAGTCTTCGTCATATTAATTGTTCAATAACTGATTCTTTATTAAACTTCTTTATTCTCTATTAAAGCGCTTTCTAAAATGCTGACACAGTCACAGGCCTTTAAACACATGCAGATGATGAACTTCACTCTGTCATGCTCACATTCTGCAGAGTCTCCACAAATCTCCTGTTTTCACCTGTGGATCCTGCTCATCTATAATCCAACTCAACATATCATGTGATGTGACTATTGTGGACACACACGTTGCCATATCGATGCTGAAACCACATATTGTGCAGCCCAAATATATATACACACATGTTCTCCCCGTGTTGGTGTGGGTTTCCTCCGCGTGCTCCGGTTTCAACTAAACTGGCCGTAGTGTATGAGTGTGTGTGAATGAGTGTGTATGGGTGTTTCCCTGTACTGGGTTGCAGCTGCGTAAAACATGTGCTGGATAAGTTGGCGATTCATTCCGCTGTGGCCACCCCTGATAAATAAAGGGTCTAATCTGAAAAGAAAACGAATGAATGAATGAATGAATGAATGAATGAATGAATGAATGAATGAATGAATGTATGTCACTCCGCTGTTCTTGATTGTTTGGCGCCATCTTGTGACCGAATAATAATAATAATCAGTAGTAGTAGGTTATTCAGCTTTATGCGTTCAGCTGTTTTATTCCTGCAAGCTTTATGTTTAATTAAAGAGCTAGTGCAATGTTAAAGCACACACATGTTGGTTTCAGTGGTTTATGAGGACTCTATGGGTGTAATGTATATTTTACAGGAAGAAAACGCTTGTTATACAAACAATGAAAATAATTAAATATAAAAATTTTTAATTACAAGGAAACAAGGCGTGTCCTCATAAACCACATTAACATTTTAATTCCCACAGTGGGTCCTAACCATGCACTTATACTCATTTTAGTCCTTGTAAACCACTAAAACCAGTACACACACACACACAAACACACACACACACACGTGTACACAGTATCAAGTCAAGCTGTATTGTCCATGGTATACATGAATAAACAGAATGATGAATATGAAGTCGACACTGCACATAAGAGCTGTCTTAAACCTGTACATGACTAACATCCCGGAGTGGTAAACTACACCGACTACTGCACAAGTACAATACACACTGAACTATACACACAACCTCTATACACACACTTTCACATCAGACTGAGCAATGCTGTGGAGGAAAACAAACATCCAGACATTTAATAAGAGCAGATTTTAGAGCAGTGATCATAATTCTGTGACCCCATGATGTTTTTCTCCGAGGTTATCACTCCGTCAGGATCGTGTACTGGCCCATGCCCATCTGTGTTTACAGTGTATAGTGCACACACTGCTCAGCTGTGTGTCAGTAATGTGTGTGTATGATCTGATCAGACGGTGTGTTCTCTGAGCTCGTCATAAACACTTGTTGATCTTCTTCTTCTTCTTCTTCAGGGCCCCGCCGGTCCCCCAGGTCTGCCCGGACCCCCTGGAAAGAGAGGAGCTCGGGTAAGTCCTGTGATGGGTCAGTGCTGGGCGCTGTGTTTCATTGGCAGCTTCATTCATTGAGCAGATCTGAACACACATCGTCAATCAGCCAATCACATGTGTCTGAGGAGCACACTGTCAGTCTGCTGAGTTTCTTACACACAGAATGCGCGCAGTAAACACACTCCTCACACTTCACTAGTGCTTCAGTCAGTCATACTCTACAGGGAGCTGTCAGACACTGGAGAGCAGATGAGAAGACGCGATGAGGAACTGCAGTATGAGGAGACGCCAAACAAACACTGATTCACTCAGGAGGAGGAGACCAACTGCAGACTTTAGATGACTGTATCAGGGTTATTCCTGCTACATGTGAGTTCTGTCACTGTCTCAGAGACACTAGACTATAGATATCCTAACACACAGGCTGATTCAGACATCTGAAACACTTTCATTTCAGCAGAGCTGCAACAACCAATCCATAAAAATCGATTAGTAAAAGCGATGGCAACGAGATTCATAAGGGATTCGTTGTGTTGCGCATAAAGAAGACAGAGATGCAGGAGAATCACTACAGACTCCTTCTTCTCTTCTGTTTTAAGGTGAGAAGTGTAAAGTCCCTGGTGCTGGTGTTTGTGTGTGGCACTGAGCTGGAGAAAGACAGCGCGGTTACGTTGGTTTTGTTTTCAGTATTCCTGACACATTCAGTGATAGACGGGGTTAACTAAAAAAAACTCTGCCCCTATAAAGATCTAAACTGTGTTCCCTACGAAAAGACCAAGCAGGTTATGTTTCACAGCTGTCTTTTGCCATTTTTCTCTCGATATTACGAGCACTGCTCTGTTTAAGCAGTCACAGTCCGCGTTTAGCCGGGAGAGCTGGCGCTGAGCAGAGCTCTCAGTAAGGGACTGTGGGAAAGTGCTTCTTTATTCGTGTATTTTAACTTGACTCTGCTGAACGACAAGTCATATCATCACAATTATACATTTTTTTGTCTGCCTAATGCTTAATTTATGTGTTAGACATGTAAATACACACAAGCACTAGTAAAACAAGACATTTAGAGTTAGTAAAACACACAAGAAAGTCTAACAATCCATTCATATATAATATGCAGATGTGTTTTATTAATCTCAGATACACACAGTGAAAGTAACTATAACGTTGAATCTACGTCTTTAAGGCCCCATTTACACTAGTGCGTTTCATTCCAAAATACCGTTGTAAAAGTAAAATGCACTAGTGTAAACGAGGCCTAGTTTTAAAACGGTGTTTTAGAATGAAAAAGATCTGCGTCCACACTAGCGTTTCACCCAAGTTTCTTTCCAAGACTAGAAAGGGCATGTGCTCTGCACAGGTTGCGCCCTATGTGTGCACGTGCCTGCCACACACAAACACACACACTCTCTCTCTCGGGCATGCGCGGCAGCATATCTACCCAGATGAGAGCTGTGCTAGTTGGACTTCTCATCAAGCATCTCCCGCTGGATCTAATCTCACTATATTTATTAAACGGGATATTTCATTCATCTTGTTGTCTTTATCTAATGACATATTCCCTGACGTTGGTCTTTTGAATTGATTAGGCTACTTGTTCTCAGGTAACGTGTTTTGGCTGAGCGCAAAGATAAGTTAATGATTAATGTATTCTGTATATTGACTGATCGCTTGCCTTTATTTCCTATAATGTAAAAACTTATTGTATGTTATACTTTTATAAAGGCCATTATAGATTATTAAAGCTGATATTCAGCAGAAGAGAGGGTGTGTTTCGTATGTTCACTGAAAGGAGGCAGTTGTTATCGGCTCAGTTGTGTTATAAATATGCACACAGTGAAGATGACACTCATATATGCAGCACGGCGCC